AGAAAAGGTAGGACAGGAAAGTATTCTGAGTGTGAGAAAAACACTCACAAAGACTCCTATTACAAGCATTACTACAAGGTTTGTTATTAAGAAGAATTCCTACTACACAGGCTTAAACCGCAGTTAGCTAGATTGCTATGGCATCTGGAGCTTAGGTGGGTCGAGGAGAAAACGCCCAGGGCTGCTGCGGCCTCATCGTGGGCGGGGGGACACAGACACGGGACATGACAGCCCAGAGAGGGGACCGACATGGCGCTCGGGGATCTTCCAGGGTTACGTGATGAGTTTTCTGAGGCTTTTCCCACTCTGAGTCCATACTCGCCAGGCACGGCAGTATTAGCTAAGATCCATTTCGGCGGGGCGTGCGTGCTGGCACTGGGAGTGGGGGCCCTGGGTGGGGGACGCTGGAAGTGGCTTCCAGTGTAGTTGAGAGTGAGCATGGAGCTTAGCGCTGGTCTCTGGCGGGCTTCATTATGGGGGTTAGCGGAGCACCCTGCAGCGCCAACCTACAGTATGTCTACACTCGTAAAGCGGAAGTCACCCCCAGACCACAGCTTGCACACGGTTCTGGCCGTGCTGGGGCTCGCCCCGAGCTGCCAGCCAGCCAGTCGGCCTCCTGCGCCTGGCTGTGCCTCTTGAGTGGGTGGCGCCGGATGGTAACTTAGAAATAGCAACTCCAGTGCCACTGCAGAAACCCAGCGGGTTTCCCGCTGACTTGTCCCCTAGTGGCGGCCATGGTTCTGGGCAGCTGCAGGTGACCCTCGGGGAACCCCAGCAGGAGTGGCACAGAGTCCTGTTGAACCCGTCCCCAGAACCCCTGCTCAAAAACAGCCTGAGGCAGCTTTGGCGAATGGCCGCCTCGTTCCTACAAGCACACGTGGGCGCTGGGGGAGTCGATAATCCAAGGGTGGCCGGCAGGCTGTGGGACATCACACGCCAGAGGGGAGGAGGAGACACAGTCACGCACAACCACAGATAGAGCCGGAAACGCGATGAGCCCGGGAGGAAGCTGCATTTGCAGAAGGCCGAGCCCGCGATAGCACGCGGATGAGAAGTGGCGGTCAGTCTAGCGGTCAGACAGTTGGAAGAGGAAGCCGGGCTGCGATGGCACAAGGCTCAGGAGATGGTTCCGCCAGGATGGCTGGGCTCTTCACTGGTGCGCGCTGATCATCTTACTAGACAGACGCATCGCAGTGAAATCCAAGCCCGGCCAAGGGCACTACCGCTCCCAGTGCCTTGTGCCGGCAGGCCTGCAGGCTGCCCTGGAGCACTGCCGTGGCGACCGCCCACGGCACCCGCTGGGGATGGCATGCCCCTCCCACGGTCCCGAGCAGCTTCTCCTTGGTGCTGGAAGCCAGCTGACTGGGCTGCTGCTGCGGCAGGGTGAGCTCCAAGGTCAGGAGGGGTGGTTCCATTAGCACGCTGAGGCCCTGTTTCTGGGTTTCCAGATCCTTCTTAGAGCTGCACCACTGGCGTCAGTAACTGCATTCCCACTCCCCTCTGGGTCTTTACGTTGGGATGCTCAGGCCTGGGGTGCACCTGTGCAACTGTAGTCTCACCACCTTCCTTCTACTCCTGTATTCAACAGCGATTTACTGAGCACTTACTACGTGCCAGGCACGGCTGCCAGTGCTGGGGACACCGCAGTGCACAAAACCACACAGAAATCCCTGTCCCGAAGGCGCTTACGTTTTTGTGAGGGTTCACTGGCCATCTGTACTCAGTAGATAAATACAGACCTGGTGGTATCAAGAAGAGAACTGTGGCACAGCAAGGCAGTGGGGAGGGGATGGCGGAGGCGGATTCGGATCAGGTGGTCTCAGGATGTGAGCTGGGGCAGAGGTCTTGAGGCAGGGAGGGTCCAGGGAAGAGCCTTGCAGGCCAGGCCAAAGGAGCAGCGGGGGAATGAAGGCTGTGGCACTCTCCTCTCACTGGGACTCCTTCCAGTGAGGTCCCCCCCAACCCCCCCAGCCCCGCCCCCAGCCCTGCCCAGAGTCTCTCTTGCACTCTGTTCGCCCCCTCCCCTGTGCTGGTGGTGCAGGGAACCCAGGCATCCAGGGGAAGAGGACTGGGAGGTCTGCAGACCACCCAGGTCCCTCGCTGGCACTGCCCTTTGGCCCAAGCCTGCAGCCCACCTCTGCTGCTCCTGGCCACCCAGCCTTCCTCACTGGGCTTCTTTCCTGCCAGGCGCGGCCCGACCTCTGGGTTGGATCTGGCCCACGGGCTGTGATTTTTCACATCCTTGTCAAACCTGTCATACCTGAATGCCTGGTGGAAAAAAGATACTGGCTTAATTGCTGTGATTTGCATGAGTGCCACCCGCAGGTAAACTCACGTGAAAACCACTGGGACTTCCCCGTGCGGATCACACCTGCCCGGGGCAGAGGCCTGCAGAGGTCGCAGGCCCAGTGGTCTCCCTCCCACACAGCGCAGAAGGCTCCTCCGGCTGGGTCAGGCTGACCGTGTGTGTCATCTTTTGCTCCCAAGCCGTGTCCCCAGCGACCTCAGCGCTCAAGCACATGGGTCCTGGAGCACTCGGATGGGTGTGGGCTGCTCAGGGGGCCTGGAATGTGGTCCCTGTGTTTGCTGTGTTGTACACAAAAGCCCTGCATTGCGGACTGTGGCCAGGGGCTTAGCTCATTCACACTCCTGCCCTCCAGAGGTAGGGAGACCCAGGAGAGCTGACGTGTGTTACTTTGTATCAGTGCACACTAACCTTCTAGTGCTTCCCTGTCTCCCCTCATTCAACACTGATCTACATTGTTACTTATTTATTTTCCTTTTATTTGAAAGGCAGAAAAAGAGAAAGAAAAAAAGAAAGGATAAAAAGAGAGAGAAACAGAGATTTTTCATCCTCTGCTTCACTCCCCAAATGCTCACAACAGCCAGGGCTGGGCCAGGCTGAAGACGGGAGCCCATAGTTCAGCCTGGGTCTCCCACATGGGTGGCAGGAACCCAGGTTCTTGAGCTGTCACCTGTTCCTTCCCAGATTGCGTGAGAGCAGGAAGCCAGATCAGAAGTGGAGGAGCCGGGGGCTCCCAGCAGGCCCCCAGGAAGTGAGCTTTTGGGCTCTGGGGCTGTGAGGACGGAAACCCCAACCTCACAGCGCAGCGGCGGAGGTGGCCCGAGGCCAGTCACTGCTTGGCGGCGCGAGGGGCGCCGGGTGACCTGAAAGAACGAAGGGGGGTTTTTACCTCCTTGACCAGAGCGGGGAGAACATTCCAGGCAAACGTCTGGAGAGACAGACGTCTGTGCTGGGGTTAGGAGGAAAGCAGCAGGGCCTGGGGGGGTGGGGAGGGGTTCTCTCTTGCAAAGACCTCGCTCTGGCCCTGCCTGTTCCCTCTCCGTGGAAGCGAAGGCACCAGGGAAGCTAAGGGCTGCCTGCTGAAATCCCGACACCCCAGGGCCCGCCCCGTGCCTGAGGCTGGCACTCAATTTCCCTCACCTCAGCGGGCCCTTGGGTGCCTGCAAGGTGAGCTGCTCCCCACAGAAAACATCTCCTCGCCCCTTCTCACAGCTCTCCGTGTCTGGTTCAGGCTCCTCGTAAACTGAGATCCACAACGATCATTTCTACCTTTCTTTATTTGAAAGGTGGAGAGATAGGGAGAGATCTCCCCTCCACAGGTTCACTCCCCAAATGCTCACAATGGCCTGGTCACCCAGAGCTTGGAACTCAATCCGGGTCTCCCACGTGGGTGTCAGGGACCCAAGGACTTGAGCCATCACTGCCGCACTAGCAGGAAGCTGGCCTCGGGGGTGAGCTGGGACTTAAACCAGGACATCCCAAGTGGGGTCTTAACCCCATACCAAGGCTCAACCTCAATGTCTGTGCTTCACGAACATGAAGGCTGCGAGGGGAGACCCACGGGGAGGCTCCGGGACAGCCAGCGCAGAAGCCGCTCCGGCCCGAAGGCTTCCCTCGCACACGACAGACGTGCAGGACGCGGAATCCAGCACCCTCACCACCACCCAGCCATCTCCCTGGCCCGGCCGCCTCTGGGCTGAAGGAGACGCAGCATTCTCAGCCCCACGCCACAGTGAGGTCCCTAAATGTGGGCCGGATGACGACACCCCCTGTCTCAGAGTAAAAGCGGGGCAGGAAGGCCACCCCCACCCCCGACCCGGTCTCTCTGAGCACAGCTCCTGCTTGCCCCCCCCCCCCGCCCCCCACTGCAACTGCTCTGGCCTCTTGGCTGTTTCTGGGACTCACCACATACACGCTAGTACCAGCGCCCGTGCACTTCCTGCCTGCCAAATGTCACCCCAGGGAGGCTGACCCTGACCATTCACGGACAACCCCAGCATCCCCACCCCCTCAGCTCTGTCCTCCCCACTGGACCCTGTGTCTCCAAACGGTGGCGTCCACCCTCTCAGCGCCTGCGTTGGTCGGCCTGCTCTTCCCTAGGGAGGAATTCTGTTCCCAGTTGTGCCTCCAGCACCTGCCACACTGCCCAGCCAGGCAGGTGAGAGAAGGCACAGCTCAGACCCCTGCCCGCCCCGCTCTCCATCTACAAGGCCCACACACCGAGACCTCCTGCAGACTCCTCAGAGGGCCTGGGGCTGGCACCCGAGTTCCCAGCGGGCTCTGGCCGGCCCCATTCCCACGGATGCCTCTGGAACCCCCGCAGGTGTCTGCCCCTGAGTGGCTCCTCCCGGGCCCGGAGCGATACCAGGACAACCCGGGGCGGCAGCACTGACCCAGGGAGGCCCCGGCCCCGCACCGCAGCACACCGGTCCCGAGCCCACTCGTGTCGCCCGGCAGGGGACCTTCCCCGGGGCGCTGCCCTTGTGCGTGGCCTTTATTCCCGAAGGCCCGCCGCGCTCCGCGCCCGCACCCCGCCGGACCCTTCCTCACGTCCTCTGCCGCCCCAGCTGCCCTATTCCCCTCGCCCCGGCCCCCGCCCCGGCCCCGGTCCCGGCCCCGGCCCGCGCTGCCGCTCCGGCCCTGGCCGGCAGGGGCCGCTCCTCGCGGCGCCCGGGGCCCCGCCGCGCCCGCCGCCGCCGCCGCCGCCTCCCGCCTCCCCGCCCCTTCCCCGGCCGGCGCTCCCGTTACGCCGCGGAGCCGGGAGCCCGAGCCCGAGCCCGCGGCGGCAGCGGGAGGCGGCGAGGGGGCGCCCCGGCGGCGGCGGCGGCGGCGGCGGCGGCGGGGCCTGCGGGGCCTGCGGGGCCTGCAGGCGGGCGGGCCGGGCCCGGCCAGGCCGCGATGGCGACCAAGAAGGCGGGCTCGCGGCTGGAGACGGAGATCGAGCGCTGCCGCTCCGAGTGCCAATGGGAGCGGATCCCCGAGCTCGTCAAGCAGCTGTCGGCCAAGCTCATCGCCAACGGTACGCGCCGGGCGGCCGCCTGGGCGGCTGGGGGCGCCGCGGCCTCCGCCCGCCGCGGGCAGGGCCCGAGGCGCGGGGCGCCGGCAGGGGCGCGGCCGGGCCACGGGGGCGCCGCGGCCCGGGGGATGTGCGCGGGGCGGGGGTCCTGGGCAGCCCGGTGTCCCGGGAGTCCGGCGTGTGGGGCCCCCGGGGGCCCAGGGGTTGTGCCCGCGTCTGGGCTGGGACTTGCAGGGCGGGCTCCTGTGGAGTCCGGGGTGCAGGGGCTCACGGTGTCAGCTGCAGCGCCGGGCCCCCAGGTGCTCTGGGGCTGGCCTTGGGCTTTTGAGAAGTTGGAGGTGCTGTGCTGTAGGAGCGCCGGCAGGACATGGGCGCCAGTGAGTGGAGGGAGTCCAGAGGCCGTGCGCGGTGTGCCCGGGCGTCAGGGTGTCTATATGGAGATGTTGAACAGAGACCCCTGGGCAATAGGGTTTGTAAACAGAGTGGACAAGGGGTCCCGGGGGAAGCTGCAGCGGGGGGTGTGTGGGAAAGCAGGTTGGGGTTCAGGTGTCCTGGGGTTCAGGTTGCACACCTGGAGAGGCCAAGTTGAGAATCCAGGGGAAGCAGAGTCAAACGGGAGGGTATGGTGCAGAGAGCTGGGAGCGTGGTTGAAGAATGCTGGACTTGGAGTTGGGTAATGGGGGGCCTGGGGCCTGCAGGTGCCTCTGAGCAGGAGTCTGGAGTTGGTCCATGACCCCGTTGACTGAATTGGTTCTTGCACCCAATCGAATCAAAATTGCATCCACAATCCCATTCCAGAGCACAGCTCCACGTGGCCTTATTTGTTTTGGAAGCAAGTACCGTTAATATTTGCTTGTCTTTTAGTACCCGCCAAAACCGCAGCCACCAGTAGACCGGTGGGAAGACTGAGGGCTTGTCCTGTGTCACCCCTGGCTTCCCCGGGGCCTGGGTGAGCACATGCTGGCTGAACAAGTGAATGAATGGGTGCCACTGCCCATTCAAGCAAGGACTCCAACTCTGTTTTTAACCTTCTCGCTGCACACTACCCAGAAATGGAGAAGGATGCGTGCGCGTCTTCTGTGGTGGTAGTGCCTCGGAATAGGAACTTGGTTCTCGGTACTCCCCGCTGTGGTACTTGCTTGGGGCAGGTGTTTCTCGGCCTTGATGGTGCCGGGGCGTGGAGGAGGCACAGCCCCTGGCTGGCTCAGCTTGGTGGGAAGTGTCGGCTCCTCTCAGTTAAGCCAGCATCTGAGGGAGGGGTGCTCAGCGCCCTGGGCCCCCAGAGGCAGCCTGCCCTGCCCACCCACCCCTGTCAGGTTCCTTGGCTCGTGTTCTTGATTCTCACCTGCAGCCTTTTCTCTCTCTCCTTGGAGTCGGATGGCCCTGGGTTTACTCTGTTGCTTCCCAGCTGTGTGGGCATAGTGATGCCTTCTGTGTGGGCTGATGCGAGGATCTGATGGGCTCATTTGTGAGGCTCCTGTCTTTTCTCTTCCAAGTCCACTTGTTTCCTTCTCTCTGCTCACTCAAACAACCCATGTTTACATGCCCACCTGTGCCAGCCGCAGTAAGTGGGGAACAGCACTGACCAAGCCCTTGCCCGCGTGCCCTTACCCTCCTCTGAGAAGGAGACAGAGGAGAAGCAGATAGGAAATAAACAGCACACCTCCAGACACTGGACGGGGATTCAACAATTCAGAGTCAATGTGATGAGAAGAAAGGGGTCTCGGGTCGCAGTAGACCCTGGCAGAAGAGGCAGCTGGGCTCTCGGCAGCCTGGGCCTGCCTCGCTCACCATCACAGCTCCTGCAGGGCCCAGCTCTCCTCCCATGGACTGCTTCCTGTGACCTAGGCTCATGCAGTCATGAGCGGGCCTGGGGGGCGTGAGGTGTGCAGGGCACTGTGGCTCCTGGCTCTGTGTGCAGGTTTGGTTTTGGGAAACTCCAGATCTCATGCCATATGAAGTTTTGTCCCGAAGACCCACATGCTGAGCAGCAGCCACGTATGACAAAAGGTCACCCAGGCTTGAGAAGGTCGAAGAGATTGCTCAGGAAGATAAAAAAAAAAGCAAAGGAGGCCGGTGCCGCGGCTCACTAGGCTAATCCTCCGCCTTGCGCCGTCGGCACACCGGGTTCTAGTCCCGGTCGGGGCGCCGGATTCTGTCCCGGTTGCCCCTCTTCCAGGCCAGCTCTCTGCTGTGGCCAGGGAGTGCAGTGGAGGATGGCCCAAGTGCTTGGGCCCTGCACCCCATGGAAGACCAGGAGAAGTACCTGGCTCCTGCCATCGGATCAGCGCGGTGTGCCGGCCGCGGCGGCCATTGGAGGGTGAACCAACAGCAAAGGAAGACCTTTCTCTCTGTCTCTCTCTCTCACTGTCCACTCTGCCTGTCAAAAAAAAAAAAAAAAAAAAAAAAAAAAAAAAAAAAAAGCAAAGGAAAAGATGAACGAAAACCCAGAATTATTATGGCCCTCTGTGGGGGTTCAGAGACGTGTTTGAAGATGCTTCCTCCCCTTTCTTTGGCTGGTGGGAGCTGGTGGTGGGACATCGCCCTGGCTTTGGGGACACTGGCTCCCCTTAGGCCTCGTGGCTGCACCAGCACGGGGCAGACCTGCTTGGAGAGAGGAAAGCCAGTGGGCGCATGTTTGTCACACTGAGACAGCTGCTCTGAAGGCTGCCTCGGGCAGGAGGAGCGCAGTCTTTAAAGCTGCCCGGGGTCTGGTCCCCGGCTCCGCCACTTCTCGACTTTGTGACTTTGGCTCCATCATTTGCCTCAGTTTCCTCCTTTTAGGATGGGATTGTAAGACTTACCTGTGGGGGTTGTTGTGAGGGCTAAAGGAGCTAGTGTCGCCCAGGGCTGGCCACGGAGCCTGACATCCCAGTAGGCAGGCCATGCGTTTATTATTCATTGAACAACTATTTAGTACCTGCTGTATGCTTGCTGTTTAGGCACTGGGGCTATTCCTGTGCATGCAACAGACAGAAGCAACACAAATTCCTGTCGTGTTGAAGCCCACACTCCAGGGGAGGGAAAGGTGGGGAGACAGACAGGAAGCCAAGACCTTGACTGGAACGCACGGGCTGTCCTGTGGCGGTGAGGGCTCTCAGAAGAATACGGAGGCGAAGGGGAGGGGGCTGCGGTGGGGGCACAGGGACTTCTAGTTTGCACCAGGTGGTCCAGGAAGGCCACACGCAGAGGGCAGCATCTGAGCTAAGATGCAGGAGACAGACGTGTGTTCCGGCAGGGAACTGGATCTGGGCGGTCTCGTAGGCCAGGGCGCAGGCTTTGGCTTTCCTCAGAGCGAGCTGGGAGCCACGGGAGGGCTGTGAGCGGAGGAGTCGCTGGTTCTGAGCCGCTGCTTGCAGAGGGCCTCCGTGCCCAGCAGCCGGAGCCCCCTGCGGGAAGGCGGCTGGCGGCCCTTCCTCTCTGCCCGGGCCCTGGGATACCCAGTGGTTTGGATGCTTTCCCAGAGGAGAAGGAAGTAAAGAGCAACCAAGTTGAAGACAGGACCCAGAAGTCCGTCTCCTGCCTCATCCCCCCCCCCACTGTTACCGTTTTAATCACCCGTCTCAAAAACCAGGTGGCGTGAGCGCCAGCCCTGCGCCAGGCCCTGACGAGTCCCAGCAAGAGGGCAGCATCGTGTCGCCCGCCCTCCCTCTCTGAAGCGCGTCCAGGCCAGCAGCGTGGACACCAGCGAGAACGTGAGACACTGTGAACTCTCGGCCCGGGGCGGGGGCAGAGGGCATATGGTGGCTGCTGCTGGCTCCACGCCGCCCTGGCCCCTGGGAGCACAGCGCCAGCTGTCCCCTCTGCCCGAATGTCACCCTCCAGCCCGAGTGGCGATCATTTGACACTGCTGTGTGTGATCACGCGGATACCGGGACCTTATCCGTAGCCGGCTCGGCGACCTCTCAGAACCCACCCTTCCTCACGGGTAAGAGAGGGCCCAGAATCCGTGTGCCTTCAGTGTGGCTGGGCAGTCCATGGGTGACATATGCAACCTCTGCACATGGGAGCTACAGGGGGCCTTCTAGAGTGTGTGGGAAAATGGAATTAAAACATTAATTTTGGTGCAGGTTTTTCCTAACCTGCGTTTTCCAGGACCTTTGGCATTGCCCTTGAACAGGTATCATTTCCGCAGCTGTCTCCGTGTAACCCCCGGGCACGGTGGGCGGAGTCCGGGTGCCACCCTGGCTGGGCAGGAAGGGAGTGGGAGGCCTGGAAAGGACACAGCGCAGCTGGCGCCTGGTCCAGACTCCCTGTGTAGGTCAGTGTCCGAAGCGGGCATTTCGAGGCCTGCGCCACACAACCTCCCTTCCGAGGCGTGCGGGCCTCTCCTGCTCTCCCCCTGGCTGCCGACCCTCTCAGGGAGCTCAGAACTCTTAGGCAGCGAATGGCGGTTTCTGCTTCAAGGGACCATGGTCCATCCGACTCAGATCTGGAGCCATCTGAGTTGTTTCTTAGCGATGGGTCGGTGAGGAGATGGTGGCTCAAACAGGCCATCGGGGCAAAGCTGCTTACTGAATGTGTCTGGGCCGCAAGGTGGGAGAGAGGCCGCAGTCCTTGTTGTTGGAAGCAGGGCGGGTTTGGCATGGTGGCTTCCCCTTGTGGGGCGGGACTGCTCGTGCCTTTGCAGTCTGCCCCGAGCGGTGACATGTCGGTGGTGCGTGAGGGTCCTCTGTGGAAGCAAGGCCTGGGTTCTGCCGTGGGTTCCCCTGTGAGGTGAGGAGGTGGCTTGTTGGTTGGCTCTGGCTTCTTGGCCCCTTCTTGGGGCACGCAGACCCCAGGGAGTCAAACTGCTCCAAAAAGTGGGGAGGACACCCGTGGGACCCCAGTCACCTCCATCCTGGCCTTCCTGGGTCGCACCTTGGGGGAAGGCCATGTGTCCTACTCTTTGGATTCAAAAGGGTCATTCATTCCGTTGAACTGAGCACGGCGGTCAGGGCAAAGGACGTTGACTTCCGAGAGCTGCAGGCGGGGGGCAGGACTGCCCGGCCGCCCGCTGGCCT